CATTCTCTCGATACATTGTATCTATCACAATAGAGCCAACGTGTAACCGATATCAAACATTACTAATGAGGTATCTCGCCTATCTTTGTGTGTGGGGGCTAATTCTTCAAAATCTGGTGTGTATTTTACCACGCTGTATTTTCATCAGTTTCAGAGCGAAATCTGACCTTTCTAGAACAAGACTGTGTTTAACAGGGAGAGAATATTTCATGCTGCCTTGGCTTATCAATTTCAATTTCGATTAATTAAAAATGAACCCAGTTTAAAATTCGGTTTCTCCTTAGAAGGAGTGGCTACATTTTTAATGCTCAGTAGCGACACGTTGCTGCCTTAAAATGCAGACGGGACGGCTTACACACCAGAAATGTATTTTCTCAGGGCTCAGGAGGCTGGCAGTCTGAGATCAAGCCGTGGACAGGTTTGGTTCCTTCCAAGGTGTCTCTCCTGGGCGTGTGGACGCCGTGTCCTCACGGGTCATGACTCCGTGCACGTCTGTGTCCTCCCCTCCTCTTCTTGCAAGGACACCAGTCACTCTGGGTTAGGACCCACCCTAATGATATCATTTTAACTTCAGCACCCCTGTAAAGACTCTATTCCCAAATGCACGTCACATTCTGAGGTCCCGGGGGTTAGGGCTCCAACCTGTGAATTCTTCAGGGGGACACAGTTCAGCCAGTAACAGCCCGTTATGCTTCACAATAATTATATGGGCTTGAGAGAGAGGCTTTGGGTTGTGTGGTTACGTACATGGATGCCAAATAGCTGTGACTCGCCGTGTCATCTTAGTCAAGCTTGCCCCTCCAAATGGGACAAAAATCAAGCCTGTTTCCCGTAAAGGTCCAGGAAGTGAATATTTTCAGCGCTAAGGGCCACACAGTCACTGCTGCGGCCCCTCAGTAATGGACAGTGGCCATGCACTGCTGTGTGCCAGAAAATACGAAAACAGCCCAGTGACCTCTGTCCAAGGCAGTTATGCACAGTGTCCTGAGTGTCATTGGTCTCTGTTCTAGGCAGTTATGTGCAGTTGTGGCTTATTTATTTTTTTAACTAATCTCTACACCCAACATGGGGCTTGAACTCACGACCCGGAGATCAAGAGTCACATGCTCTATCAATAGAGCCACCCAGGCGCCCCATCATCAAGCCAATCTTGATTAAAAAAAAAAAATCTGCAGGAGGCTAGGGAGTGAGCTGCGGGTTTACCTGGCAAAAGCGTTGCAGGCAGCGGGAAGAGCCAGTATAAAGGCCCTGAGGTAGGACCGTGCCTGGAGATTTTGAAGAACAGCAAGAAGACCAATGGCCTAGAGTAAGTCCTCAATTAAGGGGATCCACTAGGTTATATATTATAGATATGCATACCCACGTTATTGCCCTATTATGTATATATTATATATACATATTATATATAAATATCATGCCCACTGGACTGTTAGCTCTAAGAGGAAAGAGTCTGTTTCTGTTTTCTTTCTCTGTCCTGGTATGTTCAGTGGTGCCCAATACTTGGCAGATGCTGGAAAATTGCTCCTTGAAGGAATGTTTCCCTTCCTCTTTCTTACACATTTCATTACTTATCACGTAACAAATATGTTTGGAGTTTTTACTCCACAGATTGCATATTGGCCCACCTTTTTCTTCTTCTTCTTCTTCTTTAAGCTCACAAGGTCTCTTAAAAATATTTGAGGGGTGCCTAGGTGGCACAGTTGATTGAGCGTCTGACTTTTGGTTTCGGCTCAGGTTGTGGTCTCAGGGTCATGAGATCGAGCCCCGCGTGGGGCTCTGCACTCAGCGTGGAGTCTGCTTGAGGTTCTCTCTCCTTTCCCTCTGCCCCTCCCCCTGCTCAGGCGCTCTCTCTTTCTTTCCCAAATAAATAAATCTTTTTTTTAATAAAGATTTTTATTTATTTATTTATTGAGAGAGAGAGAATGGTAGAGAGAGACCATGAGAGGGAAGAAGGTCAGAGGGAGAAGCAGACCCCCCTCTGAGCAGGGAGCCCGATGTGGGACTCGATCCCGGGACTCCAGGATCATGACCCGAGCCGAAGGCAGTCACTAAACCAACTGAGCCACCCAGGCGCCCTAAATAAATCTTTTTTTAAAAAAAGTTATTTGCATTGATTGCCAGCTTGGCAAACTTAGCAGTTTCCTGAAACTCTGCATTTCTGGCTTCTCTTGAAGTATTAGCTGATGTGGTCCTGTGGAGTTGTTTTTCCTCATGGCAATACACATAAGTCACAGCCACCACATTTAGACAAGTCTAAGGTGGTTCAAAATTTTCAGATCCCACCTCCCTCCGTGTGAAAGCCCAAGTCCTCCCCCAATGGCCCACACAGCCCTGCAGGACCCACCGGGTCCCCTCCCTGCCCTCCCCTCCTCCCTCTCTCCCCCTCACTCACTCGGCCAAGTGGGCATCCTCGCTGCTCCTCCATCACTCTGGGCTGGTCCTGCCCCAGGGCCTTTGCTCATGCTGTTCCCTCTGTCTAGAACTCTCTTCCCTCAGATGTCCCCCTGGGTCACATTTGTATGTCCTGTTGAAATCTCTCTTGTCATCAAGGCCTTCTTGAACCACATTGTTTAAAACTGTGAACACCCCATCCCTGATTCTTGGGGTTCATGACCCTCCTTCCCTCCTCATGTTTCTCTGTAACATTTATTCCCAGCTGATGTGCTGTGAATGTCACTCACTTGTTGGTTGTCTGTCCTCCACAGGAGGAAGTCAGCTGCATTTGGAGGGGGGGGGGTCTGTGCCATTTCACCCCCCACCAAGTCTTCATGTCAGCATCTTGGGCCACTTGTATTTCTGAAACGGCCAGACAGCCACTCGCCTCTCTACATCCTTCCCCCAAGTGCCACCCCCTCTACTCCTTCTTGGCCGCTTCTCTTCTGCCCTGCTTCCGGGGTCAGCTCAGTCCTGTCCCCCCGGCACTTCTGCCCCCAGTGCTGGCTCTCCCCATGCTCTCTCTGGCCTGCATCTGACCTTCCTAGAATCTTTGACCTTGGCCCTGGTGCCCCAGTGGCTCACAACTACTCAAAATGGATTTAAAAAAAAAAATCCTGAATCATTTTTGCACTGAGGTCTGTGATTCATGGTCTGTGATCCATGAGTCAGCCTTTGCTCTAGACCAGGATCCTCAATGTCAGCACTGAGCAATACTTGGGGCTGGGTCATTCTCTGTCGGGGTGCTGTCCTGGGCACTGCTCAGGGGAGGGGGAGTGAGCCTTGGCCCCCATCTACTTGATGCCAGGCACACCTTTCCCTGCGGTCGTGACAACCATCGATGTCCCCAGACATTGCCAAGGGTGGGGGTGGTTGGTGGTCAGAGGTGTTCTTGGTTGAGAAGCACTGCTCTAGGCTCTGGGGGTGTCGTTGTGGGCACTAGGGTGGACCAGACAGAAGTCTCAGCCCAGCTGAAGGGCATATAAAGTGTTCTCAGTCTCCTGGAATGGATCTGAAATGGCGGTTTTTGTTTTTGTTTTTGTTTTGTTTTGTTTTTTCTAAGTCTGAATATGACGTGCTTTGAGCACCTGGTGACCTCAGTTATAGGATTTGGAATACTCTCCCTAGCATCCTGTTGTGTGCCCTTGTGAAAGGGCCTTTTTATTTTTTTAAGATTTAATTTGTTTATTTGAGGGACAGAGTGAGCGAGAGAGGGAACACAAGCTGGGGGAGTGGGAGAGGGAGAAGCAGGCTCCCTGCCGAGCAGGGAGCCCGATGCGGGACTCGGTCCCAGGACCCTGGGATCATGACCTGAGCCGAAGGCAGACACTTCACCGACTGAGCCACCCAGGTGCCCCGAAAGGCCTTTTTCTGTGCCTGTTTTTTTCATCCACAGCATTGGGAGGATATGAGTTCTAGCCGCATTCATTCATTCCACAAGCTTAGGTCCCCACTCTGTGGTTCAGCAACCCAGCAGGGTTAGGAGAGGCTCAGCCCCATCCACGGGTGCCAGGAAGCAGACAGCAAATGCAAAAAGTCTAACACACGAGAAAAGTTCACCCAGTGACATGCTGGGGGGAACAAGGTGACGTGGGAGAGACAGACTGGCAAGGGCAGCGGCGTCGTGCAGGGCCGCGGAGATGGCGCCATTGTGCCTGAGAGCTGAATGATGAGACTAGCGTCCCTCAGGCAAAGGTCTGAGGAAGGAGCACTCCAAGCAGAGGGAACAGCACTTGCAAGGAGCCCGAGGTAGGAACCAGCTTGGCATTTGTTGAGACATGGAGAGCAAGGAATAGTCTCCAAATGGCTTGGCAGCACCATCAGGCCTGGAGGTGGCTCCCAGCAATTGTTAGTTCCTCACGCTAACATCACTACCTGGAGCCCCTATAGCTGTGTAGTGTAAATGACCCCAGGACATCGTGGTTTAAAAACCACAAACATGTATCATCTCAGACAGTTCCTGGGTGTCAGGAATCTGGAGGAAGATGAGTTGGGTGGCTCTGGCTTAGAAGCTCTCGCGGGGTCGCGGTTAAGCTGTTGGCCGGCGGCTGCCTCACCTGAAGGCTCGACCGGGGCCGGAGTTGCCAGGAGGCCAGGATGTTCCCTCTGCCTACTGACTTCTGGTCATCAGGCTCAGAACTTTCCCTATGTGAAGGCAGCACAATTCCCTGAAACAATCCCACAAGTGAGCTTATTATTATTCCCAATAGGCAGTATAGTTTTGTGGTTGGGCACTCAGCCTCTGGAGCCAGATTTCATGGATTCAGATCCCAGCTGTCACCCACGGGCTGTGTGACTTTGGGCAAGTGACTTCCCTTTTCTGGCATGCTTTTTTTCACATGCAAACGGGGAAAATAGTAGGGTCTACCTTTTGGGTGACACCAGGCAAGTGTTGGCTGCTCTCATCTTGCAGAGGAGGAAATGGAGGCAGGGGGAGGTGACACACCTTTCCCCAGGTCACCCTGATAGGTGGTGGTGGCACTGGAAAGTGGGCAGGTGGGGGTGTCTGGGCCACCTCCCAGAGCTATCCCCTCTCTGGAAGTGACTGTGTCTCTCTTGCTTCACAGGTCTACTGCAGTGTCCCCCATGAGACTCGGAATGGTGAGCACGTAGGTGAGCATGCAGGAAGGCAGGTGGTGTGGAACATGCCTCCACCACCCAGTGCTTCTGCTGCCCACGGCCGCACTCACCTATGCCCATGGCCTGCACGGGCCTGTCGCTCTCCAGCGCCTTTGACATTCTAGGTGCCGCAGGCGAGGAAAAGCTCTTGCATCTTAAGCACAAGCTGAAGACCCTGCGCCCAGGCTGCCGGGGGGCGGACCTCCTGCATGCCATGGTGCTCCTGAAGTTGGGCCAGGAGACCGAGGCCAGGATCTCCCTGGAAGCGCTGAAGGCGGATGCGGTGGCCCGGCTTGTGGCCCGCCAGTGGGCCGGCATGGACAGTGCCGAGGCCCCAGAGGAGCCCCCAGACTTGTCCTGGGCAGTTGCCCGGGTATTCCACCTGCTCGCTGAGGAGAAGCTGTGCCCGGTCACTATGCGGGACATGGCCTACCAGGCTGCCCTCCATACGTTCAGCTCCAGGGATGACCACCGGCTCACAGAGCTCCAGGGAGAGGCCCAGGACCGCTGTGGGTGGGGTACCGTCAGGGACCCAGGGAGCTTCCAGCCCCTTCACTCTGATCCGGGCTGCCTGCCACCATCCTCAGTGTCACCCTCAGGCACTCACGGCCTTCCCCAGCCCATCAGGCACCTTCTGGACTGGAGCAGAGGGTGTTCCCTGAGATCCACCGGCAGCCCCGCCTCCCTGGCCAGCAATCTGGAAATCAGCCAGTCGCCCACCATGCCCTTTCTCAGCCATCACTGCAGCTGCCACGGGCCCAGCAAGCTGTGTGACGAGCCCCAGGCCAGCCCGGTGCCTGAGCCTGCCCCCACGGGCTGCCAGGAGCCTGAGGAGGTGAGCTGGCCACCTTCGGAAGCGACTGTCAGCCCCCCATCGATGGAGACTGCCAGCCCCCCACTGGGGGAGACTGTCAGCCCCTCATCAGGAGAGGTGGCTAGCCCCTCATCCGGGGAGAGTGCCAGCCCCCCATCGGGGGAGGCTGCCCGTCCCCCACCGGGGGAGACTGCCAGCCCCTCATCGGGGGAGACTGCCAGCTCCCGGACGCTACCAAACAGCTCAGCCCCTAGGCTTACTGAGCTGGTCCCAGATGCAAGCCCTGGCCAGCCCGACCCCCCCAAAGCTCTGGAAATCAGCACCCACTACCCGGTGGAGTGCACAGAAGTGTTGGCAGCCCCCAAATCTCTCTCCTTGCCCTCCAGAAACACTTGCCCTGACAAGGACCAGCCCCCACTCCCACTTCCTGGAGAAGATATCACTTCCCAGGTGGCCAGCCCATGCCCACCTGCGCCCTCAGCCCTGAGGACGTCCCCTCCCTGCCCTGCATCATCGACCCCTTCTTCCACTGGCCTGGCCTCCTCCAGCCCATGCCCCCCTTCTCCCGAGTTGGAGTCAGAGCAGAAATTCTATAACTTTGTGATCCTGCACGTTGCGGCGGATGAACACATTGCCCTGCGGGTCCGGGAGAAGCTCGAGGCCCTGGGGGTCCCTGATGGGGCCACCTTCTGTGAGGATTTCCAGGTGCCCGGGCGGGGCGAGCTGCGCTGCCTACAAGACGCCATCGAACACTCGGCCTTCACCATCCTGCTGCTCACCCCCAACTTCGACTGCCACCTGGGCCAGCACCAGGCGGGCCATTCGCTGATGAGCAGCCTCACGCGGCCCGGGTGGCAAGACTGCGTGATCCCCTTCCTGCCCCTGGAGAGCTCCCAGGCCCAGCTCAGCTCCCACACGTCCAGCCTGCTCATCGGCCTGGTGTGGCTGGACGAGCACTCCCGGATCTTCGCCAAGAGGGTGGCCAACACCTTCAAGCCGCAGACGCTACGAGCCCGCAAGGCCCACTGGAGGAAGGAACAGGACGTGCGGGCCCTGCAAGAGCAGCGCCGGCACCTGGAGGGCGAGCGGCGGCGGGTAGCGGCACTGAACGCCGCCTACTCGGCCGACGTCCAGAACTGCTTGTCCTGGCAGGCGCAGATGGAGACACTCCGGGCGGCCTTCGGGAGCCACATGCCATTTGGGACTCGGGTGCCCCCCGGGGGCCCGGGGCCTCTGGGCGCCCCCCGGCCCTTTCCCTCCTGGCCGGGCCATCAGCCGCCCCCTGAGGCTCCGTGGCTGGCCGGCTCGCCCGCGCCCGCCTTCCCGCCGCCGCCCGCCTTCCCGCAGGCCGGCCCGGCGCCCCCTCAGAGCCCCGGGCTGCAGCCCCTCATCATCCACCACGCCCAGATGGTGCAGCTGGGCCTCAACAACCACATGTGGAACCAGAGAGGGACCCAGGCGCCCGAGGACAAGACGCAAGGAGCAGAGTGACCGAGTGGCTGGGCCCGAGGACCCGGACCTTAGGGACGCCCCCCACCGCTTCCAGGGGGGGCAGAGGAGCGTGACGTCGTCGGCCGCTCTCCGGAAACGGTGCAAAATGGGCCCCGACGACTTCCTGGCGCGCAGGGTGGCCAGACTTGGGTGTGGCATTTACAAATTCTCACCTGGGTGGTGGTGGGGCTAGCGGGCTGGGGGATGTGGGTACCGTGTTTTAACTATAATAAATATTTATTGAATGTTTCCGCGGTGCGGTTCTCCTCTGGGAGTCTTGAACTGTTCCCAAAAAAGGGAACCGGAAGGGAGGAGCTCGCTTCTCCCAGTGTGAGGCATGGACCGAATGGCGTGCGCAGTTTCTCGCATTTCATTGGCCAGAACCTAGTCACGTGGTCCCTCGGCTGCAAGGGACCTTGGGAAATGTAGTCTTCTGGGCCGTGGGCTTTGCTAAAAGTTTTGGTTCTAATACCAGAGAACATGGAGAGAAAAGACGCGGGGGGACATTTAGCACTTACTGCTGTAGCCCCCCCCCTTTTTTTTGCCAAAGGTTCCTGCCTTGATGTGTCGTGTCCCCCACTCCCCACCTTGCTGGACTCAGATCCGACCATGTGATCTTGGGCAAGGGCCTTTGGCTCTCCGAGCCTCGAGTTCTCGTTTGAGAAGTGGGTTTGATGTTTCAAGGTTGTCAGCAGATCCTGTGTGAGACACTGAACCTCGCAGTGTAAGTGCTCATTAACCGCCAGCCGGAGAGGAGGGGGTTAATCTTTTTTCAGGGTCACAGACCTTTGAGAAAGAATAGAATTAACACTTGTTGGGCACTCACATTTACGGATTGCACAGGCTTTAAAGATCTAAACGTATTCGATTTTATTTTTATTTTTTAAAAGTAATCTCTGTGCCCAAGGTGGGGCTCGAACTCAGGACCCTGAGATCAAGAGTCACATGCTCCACCCACTGAGCCAGCCTGGCGCTCCTGAACTTATTTTAATCCCCAAAATTGACCTCCCTCAGAGTAGAAGCTTATATTGTTGGGCTCATTTTACAGATAGGGAAAACAGGCTCAAAGAGGTGAATCTGGGTCTGCACGGTCACACCGGTCAGAAGTGGAGGAATTGTAATTTCCAAGGGAGGAAGTGACAGAAGGGCCAACTCCAGCCGGCGGAGCCAGGAAAGCCGCTAGCCCCTCCCACCCAACCGCCCGGCTCAAACATTAACTTTGCAAGCCCTTTTCCTCCGTTTCCTGGGGCCCCGGAGGGCGGGCCTGGCTGACTCACTCAGGGCGTCAGATACCACTGGTAATTTTAGTCGCTGACTCAGATTTTGTTGGGGCGCAGCTTCCTGAAGCCTCCGCAGCACTGAAGTGAAACCTGGGGAGGAGTCCGGGAGACCAGCTTCCAGGGTGGGCCGAGGTGGGCGGGGTTCGTGGACAGACGGTCTCCGTTCATGGAGGCGAGAGCTAGCTGCAAATAGCTGGACGGTTGCGGTGAACAGACCATTCGTTCATGTGAACAACATTTATTGAGCGCCTACTGTGTACCCAGTTTGTCCCAGGCACTGGAGTGCAGTAGGGGCAAAGGCAGTCGCCATCTATCCCTCACTCTCCTTTCAGTCGGAGGCGGAGGAGAGGGGACAGCGGATGAGTCATCACAGGAAGTGAGATAATTTCAGAAAGTGAAGGGCTATCAGAAGAAATGAACAGAGTTGGGGGTGTCCCAGGAGGGAAAACTTTGGCCCGAGTGGCCAGGGAGGGCCTCTCTGAGGAGGTGGTGTTAGAGCCAAGCCCCATAGGAAGAGGAGCCGGCCATGATGAGAAGAGCTTGAGGACTGGGGTGATTTTCTGGGCAGAGGAAACAGCTCGTGGGCAAAGGTCCTGGGGCAGGGCCCTGCCTGGCATGTTGGAGGAACAGCAAGGACGCCTGTGTGGCTGGAGCAGAATGAGCGAAGGGGAGGGAGGGAGGAGAGGAGGACAGGGAGAGGACGGTAGCAGGTTCCTGCTGGGCCCTGGGGGCTTCGGGGAGGACTTGGGCTTTTCCCTCAGGGAGGTGGGAGCCCTGCAAGGCTGCGGGCAGAGGAGGGCAGGACCGGACTCAAGTGCTCACGGGCGCCCTCTGGTGGCTGCTCTGGGAAGGACAGGTCAGGAAGTTGGGGGGGCGGGGTGCAGCCCTGAGCCTGGGACCAGAGCAGTGGCAACAGAGCAGATCCAGGCCAGCCGTGACGAGGGCCGGACCCAGGTGGAGGCAGAGGAGGGACAAGTGGGCACATTCAGAGCGTGAGTCTTTGTTTCATCCCTGAGACATTGTGAGACTTGGAACAAGTCACAGCCCTTTCCTGGACCTCATCTTTCCCATCTGTACTCGGTCCTAGTGACTTCAGGTCTGGAGCTCCAATACTTCGCACGTCCCCGTGTCACTCCAGCATACTTAAAGGACAAGCATTTTGAAAGCCCTGGGCGGAGGCTTTTACATGCTGGCTGAGCTTGTTTCATCCTCCCAGCAGCCCAGGAGCTGGAGACTACCCTTGTCTCCAGTTTACAGATGAAGACACTAAGGCCCAGAGAGGGGAAGTCACTTATCCAAGGTCACACAGCACACAGTAGCCTTTGGGGGCTGAAGAAGGAGCCAGGTGTCTCTACTGGGTTCTAGCTCATACGGAGATCGTGAGACTGCTCCTTCATTACGTCCATTGTTTTTTGGTTTTGTTTTTGTTTTTTATTCTGTGAAATAGTCTTGTTCCTTTCCTGGCTCCTGGATCTGTCTGGGTCACTGCAGTGTCTTCAGTGCCCAGCACACGGTAGTTGCTCAGTAAGTGAATCCTTTTGAGGAACAATATGTGGAGCACCTGCTGTGTGCAGGTCCGTCTGGGGCACTATCCCTGACCCCTATGGAGTTCCCTGGGCAGTGGGTGGAGAGGATGTGATTCACCCATCTACTTATCCAACCAACATTTATTGAGCTCCTACTGGGTGCAGGCACCTGTGGGCACAGTGGCGACTGAGTGGTCACCATACCCCCAAGGTGACCTGAGACAACACCGTCCTGTTCTCTCAGAGCTCACGGTCAGCTGCCAGAGACAGAGACAGTGACCAGGGGAATCAGGCCTGTGATGGAGAAGTGTAGGGGTCTGTGGAGGCCCAAAGGGGACTCCTGACCCGCCGGCGGGGATTCAGAGAAGCTTCTGGAAGGAGGAAGTAAGCTGAGACTTGAGGCCTATGGTGGAATGAGCCATGGGCTGGGAAGAGAGCTCCTGGAGGTGCACAGAGCACTGGCGAAGGCCCGGAGGCGAGAGTGTGAGCTAGGACAGCTCCAGACAGAGCTGCGCTTTGCCAGAGCTGGGGGCTCAGCCACACGTCCTGTTGCCCTGGCGCCCCCTGGTGGCCGCCACCGCTCCAAGGCCAGTGCGCCCCCAGTGGCCACCAGGCCTGGGGTGTTTCCTGGGAAACCCCCTATCCCCGCTAGGGACAAACAGCCTTAAGGAAAAATAGGGGGGAATTTTTTTGAAAATTCCCCCTTCTTTAAGAACTCGGAAACATGAATCAGTAACAGATGATTTGTTTTCAGAGGTTAATAACTGCGTCCCTGTTAGGAATGATGTCTTTCTGAGATGATTAGATCTTCTACAAATGTCCTCCCGCTCTCTGGGCCCAGAGACGGTAATGCATTGCCCAGTGTCACCCAGTGCATGCGTCGCTGCCACCGAGCCTGGGCAGAACTTGAGGGACTTTGAATCTTGTAAATCTGCCTCTCCGGCACAATCTGGGTTGCCCACCAGAGGGCGCGCGCGAGCACCTCCTCTGCCCGCAGTCCTCCAGGGCTCCACCGCCTTGGGGGTAAAAGCCCGGGTCCTCCCCGCGGCCCCCAAGGCCCCGCGCGACCTGCCCTCCTCTCCTCTCCCTCTTCCCCCCATCTAGTCTGTACGAGCCACATGGGCTTCAACACACAGATGTGGTTCTGCCCCAGGACATTTACACAGCTGTTCCCTCTCCTTGGAATGCCCTTCCTCCAGATGCCGACATAGCCCCCTCCTCATCTCCTGCAGATTTTTGCTCAAATGTCATCCTCTCAATGGAGACTTCTCTGATTACCCCACTTAAAATCATTTACAACCTCATCCACCCTCCCCACCCCGTTCTATTGCTCCCTAATGCTTAGCACTTTTAGACAAAAATAGTAAGTCACTTATTCACTGAGCACATTGTTTATCATCTGCCTTCCCAAGAGGATGGGAATTTTATCTGTTGATTTCACTGCTGGACCCCAGTACCTGGCACACAGCAGGTGCTTAATAAATGACTTTGAATTAATGGGCACATCTTTTTATCTTTAAAATAACCTCTTTGGGGGCGCCTGGGTGGCTCAGTTGGTTAGGCGACTGCCTTCGGCTCAGGTCATGATCCTGGAGTCCCGGGATCGAGTCCCGCATCGGGCTCAGTGGGGAGTCCGCTTCTCCCTCTGACCCTCTTCCCTCTCGTGCTCTCTCATTCTCTCTCTCTCAAATAAATAAATAAAATCTTTAAAAAAAATAAAATAAAATAACCTCTTTGTTCTATTTCCCTCCTGCCTGCTGGTGAATATCCTGTCCATTCGTTTTGTCATCCGTTCACTGAACAGTATGTATTGAGCACCTAGTGTATGCCAGGGAGGGTTTCAGATTTGGTGGACAGTGTTGACTAAAGCAGACCTCATGGGGCTCATAGCTCTGTGGGGGAGACAGACACACCACCAGGTGGTTGCAGCCGGGGTGGTCCTGGGTGTGATGGGGGGATGCAGAGGCCACTGTGGGGGCCCTGGGGCTGGGGGCAGTCATGGGAGGCTTCCTGGAGGAGGCATTCCAAGAAGGAAAGGCTCCTGCAGGTGGAAGGTACAGCTCATGCAAAGACCCCATGGTGGGAGGTAGCTTGGCGCCCCTGAAGGCTGGGGAGGAGCCAGTGTGGTCGATCTGAGCACCTGTGTCATGAGTGTGCCCCCTCCACCTTCCCCCAGAACAGGACGCAGCCTTTATTTGTGGAGACCCAGAAGGTGCTGCAGTGAGTATTCTGCGCCACCAGGGGTCGCCATGGGACAGCGATTCGAGCTTCTCCCCTGCCTGGGGCTGGAGAGAGGCTGGAGGAGCAGAGAACCCGCAGAGAGTGCCAAGTTCCAGATCATACCAGCAGCCCCCTTTCTCCGCTTAGAGCCTCTGCAAATAACAACAGCCGCCGCATAAATATCCCCATTAACTGGGGCTTTGGAAATTGTCCAGTCTAATGT